TTGTGTTAAATACTACAGCAATTGGAAAACTGGATCAGTCAAATTCATCCATAAATTTGGTCCCTGGACACAACATATATAACTGTAAGCATGTAAGCATAACTGTAGAAACAGACTAGTCCAAGATTATTTAATGATTAAATGTCATAATGTGACATGTGCAATATCTCAGTCTTTCCTTATTCTGTGCAATATTTTTTGTCTTAGTGGAATTACCATCCCACATTACAGCCACAAACATGAATAAATTTTATTGGAATTCCACGTGAAAGACCAACACAAAGTGGTGTACACGTGAGAAGAGGAACGAAAATCATACATGATTCCAAACATTTTTTTACAAATAAATAACTGCAAAGTGGGGTGTGCGTAATTATTCAACCCCCTGTGTCAATACTTTGTAGAACCACCTTTTGCTGCAATTACAGCTGCCAGTCTTTTAGGGTATGTCTCTACCAGCTTTGCACATCTAGAGGCTGAAATCCTTGCCCATTCTTCTTTGCAAAACAGCTCCAGCTCAGTCAGATTAGATGGACAGCGTTTGTGAACAGCAGTTTTCAGATCTTGCCACAGATTCTTGATTGGATTTAGATCTGGACTTTTCCTGGGCCATTCTAACACATGGATATGTTTTGTTTTAAACCTTTCCATTGTTGCCCTGGCTTTATGTTTAGGGTCGTTGTCCTGCTGGAAGGTGAACCTCCGCCCCAGTCTCAAGTCTTTTGCAGACTCCAAGAGGTTTTCTTCCAAGATTGCCCTGTATTTGGCTCCATCCATCTTCCCATCAACTCTGACCAGCTTCCCTGTCCCTGCTGAAGAGAAGCACCCCAGAGCACGAAGTTGCCACCACCATATTTGACAGTGGGGATGGTGTGTTCAGAGTGATGTGCAGTGTTAGTTTTCTGCCACACATAGCTTTTTGCATTTTGGCCAAAAAGTTCCATTTTGGTCTCATCTGACCAGAGCACCTTCTTCCACATGTTTGCTGTGTCCCCCACATGGCTTGTGGCAAACTGCAAACGGGACTTCTTGTGGTTTTCTGTTAACAATGGCTTTCTTCTTGCCACTCTTCCATAAAGGCCAACTTTGTGCAGTGCACGACTAATAGTTGTCCTATGGACAGATTCCCCCACCTGAGCTGTAGATGTCTGCAGCTCGTCCAGAGTCACCATGGGCCTCTTGGCTGCATTTCTGATCAGCGCTCTCCTTGTTCGGCCTGTGAGCTTAGATGGACGGCCTTGTCTTGGTAGGTTTACATTTGTGCCATACTCCTTCCATTTCTGAATGATCGCTTGAACAGTGCTCCGTGGGATGTTCAAGGCTTGGGAAATCTTTTTGTAGCCTAAGCTTTAAATTTCTCAATAACTTTATCCCTGACCTGTCTGGTGTGTTCTTTGGACTTCATGGTGTTGTTGCTCCCAATATTCTCTTAGACAACCTCTGAGGCCGTCACAGAGCAGCTGTATTTGTACTGACATTAGATTACACACAGGTGCACTCTATTTAGTCATCAGCATACATCAGGCAATGTCTATGGGCAACTGACTGCACTCAGACCAAAGGGGGCTGAATAATTACACACACCCCACTTTGCAGTTATTTATTTGTAAAAAATGTTTGGAACCATGTAAGATATTCGTTCCACTTCTCACGTGTACACCACTTTGTGTTGGTCTTTCATGTGGAATTCCAATAAGATTGATTCATGTTTTTGGTTGTAAAATGGCCACAAAATGTGGAAAAGTTCAAGGGGGCCGAATACTTTTGAAAGCCACTTTATATATATACATATTGCTTTTTCTTCTTTGTGTATTGTTTTCTTTACTTTTGCAACTTAGTGGACCTGCTACCCATTCCCAGTTTGGAATGGGAACTGTGGGTCTCTGTATCTTCTCCTTCTCTTCATACTTTGGAGATATCCCATCACTGGCTGCTTTATTTTTTGGATTTGCACAGAATACGTGCAATTTTGTATGTAGGACCACATTGCCCATTCACTTGGAAGCTCAGGTGGTTGGACAGCCTTCCCAGGGTAGACTTCAAAGCTGTGAATGCCGTCTAATATTGTTGTGACTTAGAAGAGGCCAAATCTTGTCTCACCACCCATATCCTCTGTGGCTTGGCAGCTGTTGTCCCTGAAATAGAGAAAATATTTGATGGTCTCTCACCGCGCAAGAGGCATCACATCAGCAACATGTGAAATGTGTACAAATCTTTGCACAAATACATGAAATAAAATGGAATTACACATAAACACACTGTCAGCAAACTCTTCCTCAAGAGTACCCCTTACAGCACAACATTGTGCTGAGGCAATGAAAAGAAAAAGTGGATTTCTATGTACGCAAAATTTTAAAAACTTCATAAAATCTAGCAAAAACACTGTCTACATCTTTTACACTTACACGTGTTCATGTGTTTTTGATTTGCTCTTTATGTCACAGTAAATATTATAACTAGGACACTCTTACCTTCCTACGTCCACCATTTGGTCCTATTGCTATGTGTCAGAAAAGAATACCCCATCTTCATGCTTCATAGTGGCCCCCATATGTTATTGGACTGAAATTTGATGCTTCTCAAAGTATGAATATATGTTGTGTGTGCGTTTTCAGGCCTGTGCTAATAAACGACAAAGTACAGCCTGCTTGTCTGCCAGAAAAGGACTACATAGTGCCCAGTGGAACAGAGTGTTATGTTACTGGATGGGGAGAGACTCAAGGTAGGTCACATTTATGTGTGCTATTGTTGTTATTTGTGAGAATTATCTGAATTCCTCGTCAATTTGTATAAATTTGTAAAAATAAATACATAAATACAATGCAAAGTGTCTGGTTAAGTTGTTTAAACCAATTTTGATCACATGTTTTTGCTTACTAACTCACAATGCATTATAGATAATAAACTTAAAAAAACTAATTTACAAGCTTTAGAAATTCAACACTGAGCAGATTAATATGAAATACAATCAGGTCTTGTTTTGTAAAATCCTCTGCAAGATATAATGAAAGCTTTTCACCACAAAGTGGCACTCAGAGCCAAATCAGAGCGTTTTTACTTAGCCCAACCAGCACTTTAATCTTCTGATTGAAATAATTGTGTACTCCTACCTTACAGGACAACTTATAAACAATTCTTCTATGTTTAGTTTTAAAAATAAGTTTGTGATCTTTTAACTATACCCCACATCATTATTATGTACAAATGTTGAGTAAACTCTGGCTTGAATGGTGCTGATACTGTATGTCGCTTTGAAATACAATGCACAGGTGCCTTGGACATAACATTGTAGCTGTTTAATCATTTATAGAATGTTTTCCACTTTGTTCAAACAAAGTAGCTTTTTTAAGACAAAAATTACCTTTAAGGAGACATAAAGACCAGTGCAATAGAACCAACATACAAGAAGTTGATAATAGTATTTGTTTTTATGCAAACAACAGCCACTGGTTTAAACATGTCTTATCATAATGACAAGGAAGATAACCGCTGAGAATTGTGTCTGCAGGTACGGGAGGTGACGGCACCCTTAAGGAAGCTGGTTTCCCTGTGATTGAGAATAGGGTCTGCAATCGCCCAGCATACCTGAACGGCAGAGTCAAAGATCATGAGATGTGTGCTGGAAATATCGAAGGAGGAACAGACAGCTGCCAGGTACAATTTTTTTTTTAAATATGTTTACAATAGAACAGTTCACCATACATGAGAAAAGATTTCATAAAGTTAGAGTACTTTGGATTTAGAAGTTCTTTCAACAATCAACTATTAAACTCACAACACATTAAAAGTCATTCTAAAATATTAGAAAATTGCAGACTGATAAATTAAAGCTACCAAAATCAAATCAAATCAAATCAAATCAAACATTCAAACCAGGAAAAATTTGATTTTACAAACATGTTGAAGTTTTTTGAGTCCTCTGTTATCACACACACAAAAAAATATCTAATCAACACTAGACAGATGTTTGAACTTCTTTTATCTGTTATGCATGTAAATTTTCCATATTAACAGTAAATATTTAGATGGTTATTTAGATGATTTAAATCGAGATATAAAGAACTGTGCTGACAATGATTACCTGATGGTTATTTTAGTAACTGGAATATTGACTAAACATTTCTCTGATACTTGTTTGAATTAAACCTCCACTTATTTGTAGCATTGATTAAACATGGAAAAAGCGACCCAATTTTAAAATTATATTAACATGAATGTGTTTTATGGCACACTCATGTTATCAGTGATCTTTAGTTCTGGGGTGTCAAACATAAGGCACGGGGGCCAGGATAGTCCTGAAGAAGACTCAAACCCAACCCACTGGACAATGATAGAAAATGTGAACGAGTGTATCAATTCTGAACTTCTGTAATTTAATAAGACTGCTCACCCCCATTGCCATTCATAGTACACCAACATAATTTACTAACAGGAACAAGTAAATAAGAGGAAAGTTCCTGTTTTGGGGTCTAGAGTAAATTCTGTAATTTTACTAATTTATTATTTTTTCATTTTTTTATTTTGTTTTACTGTCTGGCCTGCCTCAAAGGTAAAAGGACTCAAGTCAAATGTGTTAAATAAATCTTACTATCCCACTTTTTCAATGTATATAGTCAACAACAAATACAGTAGATGTGCTATTTTCAATGCCTTAATTAGTCTTCTGTTATATTTTTTAAATGAGCCACTGGCCAACCAATTCCTCTGTTTCTTCTCTGTTAGTTTTGCCAGCAGTTAACCTCAATGGCATCAAAAGCAGCCAGTGTGTGAATTGAACAGTAAAATATATGTATATGTGTGTGTTTTCTCCTTGTAGGGTGACAGCGGTGGTCCTCTAGTGTGTTATTCGCAAAACAGGTTTGTCTTGCAGGGTGTCACATCCTGGGGTCTGGGCTGTGCTAATGCCATGAAACCTGGCGTCTACGCTCGAGTGTCTAAGTTTGTGGACTGGATAGATAGAACCATCAAAACCAACTAAACTGCAATGTGGTTATTGAGGATCTTAACATATGTACACTGTTCTGCTCTGATATTACAAGCACTGCTGACTGATGTGGATACACTATAAACAGCGCATGTTACTGGTTTAAAAAAAGAAGGACAATGAACAATGAATGAAATTTGGAAAAAACAATACTTAAATGAAACAAGGAAATTATACAAATATTAAAAACGTACTTCCTTGTGTTTGGGTGAAATAAAATGTAATCATTCAGTAGTCGTTTCCCTGTTTTTCATCTGATCTTCAGACTTCAGAAGATTCTTCATTTGATGATTTTCTTCGTGGCTCTGCTTTTTCCTGAGAGAGAGAAAACATTTTGACACTACACCCACAAATAATGCATAGTAAATGTCTATTAGTATCTATAAGTTTCCTTATCAGTTACAATGAAACTTTAGTACAGATTTTCTTTGAATTTTACTTAAGTTTTACAAAAAGAAGTGATGAAAAACAAATGCTAAGTGTAATGCCTTTAAAAAGTAATATGAACTCAGGAGAAGGATTACTTTACTCATTAATATAACAAGTTATACACAGTGCTCTTCATATGGACCTCTGGACTAATACTTTAGCTGTACTCAGTAAACGGGATTCTGAATGTGTTATGACTGAAAAAACTGGGACATTTTACCAATTAGGGAACTCAATATCATCAATGGTTTCAGGGAGAGGTACTCCTTTGGTTTCTGGAAGTAACAGCACCAAACCTCCAGCTATGATTGCCACAGCGCCTGTACCAAAACAAGATGCAGATAATGTCAGTGTAATTGCAAAATTATTTTAATTATTTCCTACAAAAAAAGCTAAAGACTTTTCAATTTCAGATATTGTTCTGTTTTTTAAATTTAGTGTGTCATAATCACACGTAGGCTAGTAAAAATATATATTTCTGACTCAAATTGTTGTTGATTAAAAACTAAATAAAAAGCTTTTAACATCTTTGTAATAAATAAAATATCGAATGCATAAACAATTATCACTTTTTAAAACACTCATGAGCTCCTACAAAAGCATTAAAGGAACTGGTATCAGTATAAAACATTCTCTGAGCATTTTAGTTAAACATTAGCTAAAAATATTACATTTAATGAATTACTTGAATTATTCACTCCAAAGAATAGTTACACAGGCAGTTAGTAACATTGTATTATACTGTGTGGATGGCTCAAACTCTGGACAGTGGGCTCTATAAAATGAACTGAAACTTGTAATTTAACAGATTACTTCCTTTGAATAACCTATAAGATGTTAAATCTAGTTTACTGCTTCAGGAAACATCCTGAAGTTGTTGTCGAAAAAATAATGGCTAAAATTGGGTGACAAAAAAGGACCATTCACAGTCAGCAGCCAGTACAACCATTACTCAAACCTGCAAGAACATTATTCTATAACTGATGTAATTCAACAACACTGTGAGTGCCAAAATATTTTTTGTAATTTCTTTGTAGTTTTACATAAGTAAAAATTCACATTAAGTGATGAAGGGGTTTTACAGCAGCAGTAGACTTTTTAAAAAAGTTTTAAATGTTTTTAAGGACAAATATGGCAAATCGAAACATAGTGATGCTATATTACTACTATATTACTACTTACTACTTTATTCCATAAATAGTGTCACTGCTTTGTGAAATTATATCTGATCCATTTGTTTTTCCTTGTTAGGATCTGTTATTAAGAGTACATTATTAACATTTTATGGATGTTTTTGAAAAGGTAAATCTATGAACTTGATTTGTTACCTTTTAAAACCCAGTTACTAGTTTTATAAAAAAAAAAGAAGTAATAGTTGCTATTTATTTTTATTATATTAAATATGGATAAAATATATAATATGTTATTAATTAATTACAATGAACAAAACTACTTTTCTGCCATTTTAAGCCTAACTATTACATTACATGCATGTTTGAATATATCATTAGGTAATTGTGTAGCTTTTATCCATGTAAATGTGTTTTATTTATCACATACATTCTACAGAAGAAATCCTATACAGCCCATATGGAAAATCTCTGACATATTTCCCCCAAATCTTAATTTTAAAATTTTTTATCAGTATTTTTCTGGCAACCCATCGGCAAAGTAATATTATGCTTTTAGGGGTTTTGTTTGTTGGGTTTTGTTTTGATTTGAGGGAGAGGGACATTCTTATAAATATAATAAATAACAAACAGCTGAATCTTTATCTAAAATTGGAAAACTCAACAGATGAAATCCAGACTAAACCTGCTTGTTCAGCTGCATCTGTACTCTTTAATTCTAGTAACATCTATGTGATTTGGTGAGAGTAAACACCTTTAAAGCAAATGTCAAAATAGATACATTTCTCTAACATTAGTTCATCCATCCATCCATTCGCTTCCGCTTATCCTTTTCAGGGTCACGGGGGGTGCTGGAGCCTATCCCAGCTGTCTTAGGGCGAGAGGCGGGGTACACCCTGGACAGGTCGCCAGTCTGTCGCAGGGCTAACACACAGGGACAGACAACCATTTGCACTCACATTCACTCGCACATTCACATTAGTTGAGCTATGTACATAAAATACAGAATATTTTTTGTACGTATTTTGTCTGTAGATTCATCCTTTTCCAAAATATATTAGTGGCAATGTAGAGCACAGTCCTTAACATTCTTAAGAATTCAGCCTGAGAAGACATAAATATGAGGTTTTGCACCTTTCATCTAGTATTTAACCTTTTTTTTTTCATATACATGCTTACTGGTAAACATTATAAACCCACCAAAGATGATGAGTGGCAGTTCCAGCCAGATAGCAGCCAGTCTGTACAGCAGGAATGAGGACACAATGCCTCCAACATCACACAGAGTAGAACAAACAGACACTGCCAGGTTCCTGTATTCAGTCAAAATGATGGAGAGATAAACACAATTTCCTGGTTATAACTTCAGCAGGTTATAATTAGTTTCCTCACCTGACAAATGTGGGGTAGAGCTCTGTGTTAACAAACACCACCATCTCAAAGGCCATGGTGATCCCCAACCGACCGATACAGGCAACCGCTGTCTTTAACCAGAACAAGCCTGAGATACACACAGGAAGTCAATAACCAATGGGTACCAGGGTGGTGACCATGTCTGTGTTTTCTGTACAGTCTATGCATAAAACTCACTGTCAGGAATGAAAGCAGCAATGAAGCAAGAAGCTCCAGCTACGATATTCGCAGTGGCGAATGGGAGACGCCGGCCAATACGTTCAATGGTGAAGAGGATAAGGAAGGCGGCAGGAAATTCAACCAAGCCAGAAATGAGAAAGTCAATGTAGACGTTTCCTCCTGCTATCCCCAAGCGCATGACGAGGCCTTGATAAACCACAGCACTGGTGAACCTGTGCACAAAAAACACAGAGGTTCAGCATCAACTGCATGTAGGCAAAAAAAACGTGTGTGATTTCAGGCAAATCTCACCAGTTGAACATGAGGATGAAGGTGTGTTTTCTCATGTTTGGAGTTCTGATTAGGTCCAGCAAAGAGGCAGAGGTAGACTCACCTTCACCATCAGTCAGTGACTGGGAAATAAAAACATGGAAATGTGAGATTAAAGCAGGATTAAAAAGTGTCATAAAATAATGGTAGAAATAAGGAGTTAATAGGTCTTAATGTTTCCTGTTAGTGGAAATGAAATGTTAGAGAATAGTTTTGGTGATTTTCTTTATCTTTGTCAACAAATTCCATTAAATACTAAAATCAGCAGTAAACTGATAAACATATTTGGTGAATATATTGTTCCTTTAGTCATTGCTATCTATAAACTCTTAAATTGTTTGGTAAGTGAACTATTTAATCGGCCTACCTCCATATTCTTGAACAGTGTCCTGTGGTTCTCTCTGGCCACAGCTTCAGTGATCTTCAAAGCTTTGGAGGAACGGTTCTGAGAGATGAGCCACCTCGGAGACTCTGGGATAAACCTGAGAAACAAAGAAGTGTCTAAAGGTGCAAGTCTGTAGATAAAAATCTTAACTGAAAAGATTTATACATTATTTAGGAGATGAGGAGCTTTTTAACTCCCTGGAAAGTGACTATGGTAAATATGCAAGGTGAAAATGGTTATTATTATGGAACAAGTAATTAAACCACCATATTAAGCTCATAGCTCTTTTGCACATAAATCTATTTAATACTTCAATTTTTTTGTCTCCATGTATTTATTCATGATATTTTTATTTTATCTATTTGTACATATTAACCGGCATCTGCGTGTGGACAGCAGAGAAAGAATTTCATTGTACAGAGAGAAGCTTTTTCTTTGCACACATGACAATAAACACTTTGAATCTTGAATCTGAAACCACAGCAGGAGAGGAAGAAGTACTACATCTCCGTCCACCTTGCTGACTTCCATAACCTTACTTCTTGCTTTACTATTTAAAGGCCAGAGTGCTTCCTGCATCAGCACAAAACAAAAGCAATGAGATACATCATATATAAACCATAGTCCCAAAGATAATGGGCAGTTTTTGTTTTCCTTTTACTATAATAAATTTAGTGGGAAAATCTATTTTGATCTAAAAGGGAAGCACCATCTCATGCTAGAAGTACTGTAAGTCTTGTTTCCTGATCCAAACTCACATACCACTTTATTAGGTAACCTGCATATATGCCTATTTGTGCAATTATCCAAACAACTTGCAGTAGTGCACAAAATCCTTGATTAGTATCCAATTGATTAGTATCCAAATGTGTGTGCAAGGAAAGCCAAAAACAGGTTTGAGGGTCTTTTCGAGACAGTGGCGAGGCTGCCATCTCGCGCCATTGGCCCCTCTGGCCAATGGGCAATATTGATAACACTATTATGTGAAAAAATGACATAGAGTGTTGGACAATTCTGAACAAGTACAGATCTAAAATTTTACATAAGAGTGATGAAAAAGTGACTAGTAGTTCATTTCAAGTGAGCATTTTTTTCTGGATGATCACGCCATGTGGACATGGCAGTCCACATGGCATGATTGGTAGTCCAATGCCTTGCCCCCGACTCCCTAACCCTTACTGTGATGCAATGATTGCCTCAGAGATCAGGCGATCAGCATGCTGAACACTGGAATATTCATATATACATATATATATGAAGGTGACGCACTGTCATAAATGCCACTGGTCATTTATGAGCGCAAAGGCAGGCACAGACAGATGTCTGTTTTTGTTTGACATTGTCATGTGTACATGATGACAATGTCAAACAACATTGTGATTTTTTTTTTCTTTTTTGTTTGTTTGGTTTTTTACCAGTAATAACACACGAAGAGCACGTAGGGCACAGTGAAGGTGACCTGGAGCCAGCGCCAGTCTGTGATAAAGTAGGCGAGCAAAGGAAGGATGAGGAGACCCACACTGAAGAACATCTGGTACAAGATACCCACTGTTCTCCTGTACTTCACACCAACAATCTCTGTGACTAACAGAGGGACAGGAATGGTATTAAAAATAAGACAATTTTATTAGAAACAAAACAATATGACATGCAAAAATAACACAAGTATATAAATTCCACAAATGTAAGAAAATTCTTGCATTATTCACCTAAAAATAATTTGAAAATGTATGATCAAAAGTTAGGCCGTGTCATTTCTACACAGTTAGCTATGAAAATGCCTCAGAGAAAAAATCTGTTTCAGAAAACATGGAGATGATTACGCAGCACATATGAGGTCATCCAGCCTCCTTTGACACTGAAGCCAAGGATGGTCCTGAACACAAGGATGGAGATGTAGTTTGGCGCTATAGCCACTGCGATTCCTGCTACTGCATTCAAAATGTTGGACACCAAGAAACTGATCTGCCTGCCAAACCTGCAGAGTGAAATGGAAAATACATCAGGTGGGGATTTGTTGAATGAATATTATTTTGAAAATAATATATTCACTCCAGGACACATCGGAGCCACAAGTCTAGCCACAAGAGGCCTGCAGGAGTGTGCCTATTCATACCACACAAACATGCCTTCATGTGTTTCAGGGGTGTTATAGTTATATTTTTCTATAAAACACAGTTGTAATTATATAGGGTGGGCCATTTATATGGATACACCGTAATAACATGGGA